AGTGTGTGGAATATTATCTGGACAAGCAGTCAACGATTATTGGAAATACTGTATTTATGCAGTTTAAAAGTCAGTGGCACATTATGCACAACATTTTTTTCCCTAGAGCAATGACAAAAAACAAAATGCTTTTGTTAAGAAAGGGTGTATTTTTTTTGTCTACTTTTAAGAATGCTCGTTTGACGAGGGTCATTAGTTAATGAGTTAGTAGTGATGGATGAAAGGAAAAGTGCCACCTCCAGTTAACTATGAAGTCCACTGTTTGTTTCACCAATGAAGAGAAAGAAAGATGTCACTGTTCAGTGGTTCTCAGAGCCGAGGGAGGAGAATTAAACTGAAGAGCGGGAAAATGAACCAAGGATCACTCATTTCTCTGAACCATTTAAAACTACTGAAGAGAGAAAAAGACATCTTGTTTGCTCTACCACATTGCATTTTGCTTCTCTCTCTCTCTCTCTGATACAGAGCTGCCGGCTAAATCTTCAGCTAGTAGATACCAACCTAACTTCAATGACTTAAATGGGTCCAAACTGATTTCCATGAGCAGAAGATTTAGCCTTCATTCTATTCTTAGAAATTAAGGTTTCCATCATAATGTAACTATGTCCTCAGTTACACAAGCAACATATATCAATGCAAAAGAAACCCAGCATCTTAGAGCCTCTCTACACCCTGTGCTAATAGAGGCCTTCAGCTACAGTATTAATCTCTGCTGACTGCAGATGCAGTAGCTTCCTGTACTATCTACACCATTTTTCAGTTCAATTACTGCGTTTTAGAACATGGTCAAACATAACTTTAAACCGTTTTAGAAAGGAATGTGCCACTCAGAAGCAAGCATGAGCTATTCCAATCCAACCATAAGCTCTGTCCTTTTCTATACCAGTATAAATAGAATTAAACCCCTAACTTTAAACCCGAATTAAACAAGTTTAAAATTATAGTGATGTAGTTCTATTTATACTGGTACAGAAGCACACAAATGTAAGTTATATCAGAACATTTCATCCCAATATAATTTAACTGATACAATTAACTGATAATAGTTATGCTTGCCCACATCCTTTGATGATATTAATGAAAAAGAACAAAACCTGTTCTCTAAACCTTCATATTCAGTCATATCCCTTCTGCTAAGCTGTACCACATACCTTAGCTGAATAATGTCCTCTACAATTATAAGGGGTGGAAAAGTTTTCTGCTCCCTGCCTTTTCCTTCCTTTGTATAGGATGAATTGGACAGGAACTTCTATTCTCTTCTCATGTTTTAGAAAACCAATGGTTTCTTTTCTTCAAAAGGGTAGATAATTCCTTTGCAGAAGAGGCTGGTGAAGAGTTTTCACGTGGCCAGATGTGGATCAGGGACCCCCTGGGTGCCTGCGTTTCCTCAGGAAACGACGGGTTTCCCCTTGCAAGTGGACGTCCCAGCCTGCAAGGGGTCCTGCTTGAGGCTACTGAGAGCAGGACGCAGGGTGCGCCATATGCACGTGCGTGGTCGCACACACTGCATGTGGCCACGATTATAGCTGGGCAGCGTGGAGTAGCTCCTTGCAGGTAAGTCTACAGAGGGGAAGGGGTGTGGGGGAGGCAAATCAAGGCCCCCCACAGTGAGGGAGGGAGTGGGGCAGGGGCACTGCCCAGCCAGGGTGGTGTACAGGACCCAGGGCCAGTGTGGGGAGTGGGATGAAGACATGAGCAGCTCGTCCAGTGGGTGCGCGCTCCCCACTGCTGTGCATACAACCCAGGGGAGGCATAGGGGGGCATGTGCCCTCTTATATTTGTGTGCAGGGAAGATGCAGGCTGCTCGCTGTGGGCTCCGAGCTCTCCACTCTGCTGCCTTTACCCAGAAGCCCTGTGCCAGCTGCGTGTCCCCTGCCTACCCAGCAGCAGTAGGGGCAGTGAGTTGTGCCTCCCACTGCCGAGTGGGCAGGGGATGAGAGGCTGGCACAGGGCTCCCGTGGTAAAGGCAGCAGGGTGGAGAGCCCCAAGCCCACAGCAGGCAAGCCCCATCTGCCCTGACCCCGCTCCGCTCTGGCCATTTGTTCTGCCTTCCCTGTGCAATGCTGCATGTATTAAATAGAGTGGGGAAGGATTCCTTGATCAAAGCTCTTTGAATGCTCTGCCCTGCCCACTCTTAGACTTGTATCTTGTGCATCCTAGTCATGAAAACATACAAAAACAGGTGGAAGGCCTCTCAAAAGGTCAATCCTCTGCCCAAGGCAGGATCATCCTCATCTATACTATATCCTATCACTATAAATCAAAACAATGATTTCAGTACATACCAGTGGTGAGCAAAATATGACCTGTGCCCCGGATCCGGCCCGCCAGGCACCCACCAATGAATTGTACCCTGCCTAGCTCTTCTGCCCATGAGGATGGGAGCGAGGTACCATGTTCATACACATCACCCAACTTGCCCTATTGCTCCACACTTCCATCCTTGTGGGTGGAAAGGCCCAGCTAGCAGCAGCCACCCCAAGGGACCTGCTTGGTTCCCCTGGTGTCCTGCTTGCTCTAGGCAGCAAGTAGGAAAGTGGCAGGGACAGGGCAGGGGGTGAGCCGCAGCTGGGCGAGGGCAGGGAGTGTGGAGCTAGGGCTGGTGGCAGTGTGGAGCCTGAGCCCAAGGGGGCAGCGAGAGCGTGGAGCTGAGTTGGGCAGGGCGTAGGTGTGAGGGAGTACGGGCTAGTGGCAGGACCCCCCCACATACTGCCCTACATAGCGTGCAGCCCCTGTTGCCAGGAGCAGCAGCAGGCAGGGGCACTTGGGGCGTTCATGCCCTGCACAGGTGCTGGCACCCAGCAGCACATGGCTCCAGCCAGTACTATGCATGAGGGCAAGGAGAGCAGCCTGCCCAACCTGTCTCTATCCAGTCCCACAATGGAGCCAGCTGCCTTCCCCGCCCCCTGCCGCACAGGTCCTGGGATTCAGCAGGAAGTGGAGGGGAGCCCCAGCCCCTGCTTCGTCGCAGAGTCCTGGTGGGGGGTATAGGGGTGCATGTGAGAGGGTGTGGCTGTGTGTCGGGGGCATAGGATATGTCAGGGTGCATATATGTGGGGTTTGTGAGGTGTTTTAAGGGGGTGGGGGGTATGGGTACTCCCCCACATGGTGGGCTGCCTTCCCCAGCCCCTGCTTTGTCGCAGAGTCCTGGGACTTGCATGGCAGGGGGTGGGAAAGGCAGCCAGCTTCAGTGCAGGGCTTACCCTGGTGCCAAGTGAGTGTGGGAGATACAGGGGCACTGCACAGAGCAGCCCTTCACAGCACTTGCCAGAGCCATGCACTGCTGGGCTCCAGCACCTGTGCAGGGCACGAGCCCCCCCAAGTGCCTCCACCTGCTGCTGCACACCTGCTGCTTCACACCATGTGGGAGAGTGTGG